TTTTTTTTTAATAAACATTTACCTCCAAACCTTAAAAAAAATTGAGAAGCAATCGCTTCTCAAAGACCACGGTCGTTTCGCCACTGTGTCTTCCTTGAAAATATATCAAAGCGCATTAGGGAAACTGTTTTATTATATGTTTTTTTATTTAGTTAAAAATATAGGTACAAAGCTTTATTTTAACTATAAACACTATTAATAGATTATTCTTTCCGAAAACCGAAATAATCTGAAAATAAACAACTAAAATAAMTGTAATATTTAGGATTAAGTTACGCCGACATGATTTTCAATAAACAAATTCAACTATGAACTAATTATCATGCAGGATACAACATAAGGAAATAATGTCCCCTTTCAGTAACAGTACCTAATAATTAAGTGAAAAAATTGAATTACTTATTCAAGTTTAATAATTGAGTAATTTTTTTGGTCTCGCACATTTCAATTAATAAATTATACAATTTGGTAATGTCGATAACCATATTGTTTAATCAACTACAGTTACTCATTAGAAAAATCGCTTTTTAATATAATATCACATCATCCTCTATAATGTTATACTCCTATAAAAACGTGATTTTTAGTTGAATTCAGGAATGATGCACATTAAATTTATATTTTTGCTTCATTTCATTTAATGCGAAATATGCAATACTTTATTAATATTTAAAATTCAAATATTTCTACATTTTACCTATCTTGTAAATAATTTAAAATTTTTAAATCATTTTTCTGAAAAATACGTTTCTTTATCAAGTATATTTTAAACTAAATAGGTACAGTTTATTATTTTATATTTACCTTATCAACAAAAAATATTTTTAAAAAAAACAGTAATCTTATATAAAAGTTGTAAAATAGTGCTAACATTATTTATAAATCTTTCGTTCACTTCAGAACATAATACTCATAGTAGAAAGTCGACAATTCAGCATGATGAACAGCGTAAACAGCACTGAAAATCCCAAAAGTACATCGTATCACCCTCGTGGAAATTCTAATTGAATGGCATACGATTAAAATATTATATTTTCAAAATTCAATGATTTGTTCAACTACAGAAAATTATGCAATTAAGGTGCTTTATAAATGTTCAAGATAACTATTTCCTTGATAATAKATTTTATAAGATTAAAATAAAAACACTGAAATTAAGTTGTTGATTTCGTAATAATAATAATTACATATTAGCGGAACACTAATCAAAAGGTATAATCAATCTCGTGAATTTTTTTTTTATGATCTGTCTTATATCTAAATTTTTTTTTACGTTTAAAAATTTTTCTATACTATAGGTACATAAATGTGTAGATGATAATCTGTACATGATGATTACATCGATATGGCAGAATGTTCATCGAATTATTTTACCCGAAATAATGAAAATTATAAGCAAGCTGCAATATGATGTTGAGTGAGACTGGCCAGATCGTCAAAAACTATCATACAATTTTACAGTTACTTCCCAATTTATTGTACTATTTGTAAAAAAAAACATTAAAGTATAAGTTTAAGTAATATAGTAGTCATGACAGTATTTGGTAAAACATTTTTAACTCTTAAAGATCATGTTCTGGTTCTTAAATTAAATTTAAGTTTTGCATACTTAATTAATATATATTTTTTAATAATTATATGATAATTCAGTCAGTCAGTGGTGTATTTTAAATTTTGGGTGATTTTTCGGGGGGTGTCCAACTCCAACATTTAATGAATATACATATAACATAATATACTAAAATAATAATAGTATAAATCATAAAATAAATACCAA